CCCCCTCCTCTTCCTCCTCCTCCTCCTCCTCTTCCTCCTCCTCCTCCACAGCAACCAGGAGGACTACCAGCTGGTCCGGAAGCTGGGCAGGGGGAAGTACAGCGAGGTGTTCGAGGCCATCAACATCACCAACAACGAGAAGGTGGTGGTGAAGATCTTGAAGGTGAGCGGCCCCCTCCTCCCCTCAGGAGATGCACGTATCTGTTTGTTTTTGTTTAGTTTTGAGTCGGGTTTGAGCCCCACGGGGGCTGCATCCTGGTTGATTGTAAACGGGCTTGGTTGTGAAGCTCAAGCGGAGCCGGTGGGGCTCACAGAGGCGACTCCCTCCAGGGTTCACCACAGATCCTCTCACACTAGTGTCTGAAGGGCTCACAGATGGAGGGAGTAATCGGTTTCGAAGCGTTTCGGGCTCAGAAATTATGAGGAAGTCAAATGAAGGCAGCTTTAAACCAAATAGAACAACATGTAAATGCGTGCTTACTGACGTCTGTTGTGTTATTGTTGTGTTGGGTTATTGTCGTCGACTCGTGGATGTTCATGGACTTGTTTGCTCGTTTTTACGAGGGGGGGGGCTCCAGGGCCCAGAGGCCCGATCGGCAGACCTGATCAATACCCCCATCGACCCCAACAGCCCTAATTTTTACCCGCACGGTCAGATGAATGGAACCGCGTCAAGAGATAGACACATTGGTCAGAATTAGCTCCAGAAAACGAGGTCCGGAGCCAAAGAGACGCCAGTAAAACCGCCAAAAACTCAGAAAATGGAGGGAACCGGTGGAGAAATCTGAGGGAAGCCAGGAAACTGTCACCTCTGACATCTTTTAACCCCCCAAATTGTCCAGATCCTTCTGAAAACGAACATAAAGTCACAGTTTTGGTCATCCTGCGGCCTGAGAACTCGTCCTTAAACGTTCTGCTTGTGTTCTGCTTTCTTTCCTCTTTGGGGATGAATCAGCCGGTCAAGAAGAAGAAGATCAAACGAGAGATCAAGATCCTGGAAAACCTCCGAGGGGGGACCAACATCATCCGGCTGGTGGACACAGTCAAAGACCCGGTGGTAGGCCACCTTTCTCACCCTTAGGCAGGAGGCTGTGAGCTCTTCTGGCATAAACCTGCAGCAGGAGAGTCTCTGTGCCCGGTGGCGTCTGCAGCCTGCCGG